TGGGGAGCCCCCTCTGCCGTGACTGTTGCCCCAAAATGCCTCGGTTCCTGGGGGGCTATGCTTTCTCTGCAAAGTGCAGACGATCTGGGAGCGGGGGAGGGGGAGGGGGGAGGTCACACGGTCCACGTAAGTCTCTGGAATATTTCTCTAGAGCAAGGAATACGACTTGGCTTTAGAACCTCATGAGCTTCCAAACTTATCTGAAAATAGCAATTGCCAGGCCAAGCTATTTTCGCCAAGGTGGTATTAAGTTTGGCCCAAACCTGCTTCCTGTTGCCTCAAAAACACACCAAGCCAAACCAGAGCCGGAGGTTGTGGGGCCATAATGTTAAATGTAATTCTAGTTACTAGTTCAGTCTTCCTTGTTAAGATGTAGAGACAGAGGGGGTCCGGGGAGCCTCCGGTCCGTCTCATGGCCCCAGTCGTTGTACAAGGGCCTCGGATCTCAGTATGACCTGGGGCAGTCGCCTGGCAGGCCCTGGGGAGCGTGGCCCCAAGCCACCCCCTACTTGCTGCCAGGGAGCCCTGTGTCCAGCTGAGGACGCTCACAGGTGACGGCACAGAGGCTGGGCGAGGTAGGGGCAGGCTAAGAGACAGCACGGAGGTGACACCTGGCTCTGCCACTGGCCAGCTGGGTGGCTCTGTTTAAGGTGCCCGGCTTCTTTGACTCTCAAAGGCTTCTTCTGACAAGTGGGGACCCAAACTACTCAACCATCGCGCCCACACCCGCCACCATCCCAGTGGCCCTGCCCTTGGCGTGCTAACACCCCTTAACTCCTGCGCGCTTGGGCTGATGGCTCTGAGGCAGGGCTGGGCGGGCCGCCATCTATCTGATGAGGAAGTGGCCGCACCCAGGACGGCACACAGTGGGTGCTCGCTCTGGATGGAGGAAAGAGGGAGCAGGGGAGAAGACGTGCTCGGGGGTTGGGACACCAGTGCCCTGCTGCCCTCCCCTCCACGTGGCCGAGGGTGGGCCTTGCCACTTGTGGTGGCCGGTCCTCACTCGGAGAAGCGGTCATAGAATGGGGAGCGCAGCAGGTAGTAGAGCAGCAAGATGGTCCGGCGCCGCAGCTCCAGCCGCTCCCTCCGGGTCAGGCCCTTCCTGTCACTCAGGAGGCTCAGGCTGGGGGCAGGAGGGGACACGGTCAGGGGCGGCAAGAGAAGCAGACGGCTCGGGTGAGGACAGGCCTGCAGCCCAGAGCCCGGCAGAGGGGGTGGAGCCCCCAGGAGGGCCCAGGCTCACCTGGTCACATCCACGACACCAGACAGGAGCCAGGGCGTCCACGACCGCTGACCCCACAGGCCCAGGCTGAGCACTGACGGCCAAGGTGTCAAGGATGTCTCCAGCACGTGGCCCGCCCGCCCACTCCCCATCCAGCCCACCCCGCAGCGCCGGCCAGCCCCGTGCTAAGGATACGGTGCAGCAGGGGCCGGGCGATATACAAGGACTCTGCGATGGTCTCTTGCAGCCCCAGCGGGGTGGGGGGGACACTCAGCTCCTCGTGCTGCCGCTGCTGTCGTCCCTCCCGCTGCTGGGGGGCTCCCCAGTGCCTCGAGTGCAGGGACGGAGCTAGAACACAGGGGGGACAGATGAGCAGTCAGGCCCAGGCTGACCTGAGCACTGAGGTTCCCAGTCCAGCTACATCCTACACTTACTGTTCTGGAGGGTTCGTACCACTCGGTTTGACCGCTTCCCAACGTATGACCGCTCCTGGCTGCCGGGGCTCTGGTCACAATCTAGCACGGACAGACAGAAGGCCGTACTGTCAGAGGGACGTGTTTCCAGGAGGGCATGCAAAGAACAGGTGCACAGTGAATGCTCGCGGGCTGAGGGGAGAACGGATGAGCACGGATAAGCGTGTACTAAGGCCGTGGCTGAGGCAAGGACACCGTAGCCAGGCGCTGTGGCTCAACATTCTCCCTGGCCTGGGCGAAAGGTCAGCATCACCCGTGGCGGGCGAGCCAGGCAGGAACCCAGGCTTCCCAGGGACTAGAGTGGCCCAACCACAATTGTGGGGACTGCAGCACCAGAACGACCATGTCTTCTCAGTCCGTGGCTTTCAGTAGGACCACAAGGAGAAGCAAAGAGCTGTCCCCACTCAAGGCCAGGAGAGTCAGGCCTGGGGGCCAACCGGTGAGGAGTCCAAAGCCCTGAAGGGACAGATCTGCCAGGTACCCTGCCTCATGAAGCTGTGCCTCTTGATAGATAGAACGAGGCCCAAAGACATGGTTGGCAGGACCTCTGTCTCCTACTCAAGGCGTCCCCTGTTCCTGCTGCCCACCAAAAAGAAGGAGGACTCTGGCGCCAGAAGCCCTGAGTTCAAGTTCTGATTCTGCCCCTAGCCTAACCTTTCTTCTTTTCCTCTGCACAATACAGGGTGACGAGAGCAAACTGAGCTGATAGGGACAGATGTGCTCCATAAACAGACAACACTCGGGGTGCCTGGGTGGCTCAGTTCGTTGGGCGACTGACTTCGGCTCAGGTCACGATCTCGCAGTTTGTGAGTTCGAGCCCCGCGTCGGGCTCTGTGCTAACGGCTCAGAGCCTGGAGCCTGCTTGGGATTCTGTGCCTCCCCCTCTCTCTACCCCTCCCCTGCTCATGCTCTGTGTCTGTCTCTCAATAATAAACAAACGTTAAAAAAATTTTGTTTTAAACAGACAACACTCCACTCACTCATGCTGGCCGGTTCTAAACCCACAAATTAATCCCGTGTCCCAGGCCACTCCAGAGCATGGAAGCACCTTACCCGGGGAATGTGCCTGGGTCTCCCTGTCCAGCGGAATGATGGGGGGTGAGGTCTGGAGGCCAGCCTTGAACCAGATCAGCAGGAACATCCGTAGGACAGCCCTAGGTTGGGAGTATGGCAGGGCTGCGGGGGAGGTGGCTAGCCGGCAGGGGGTCAGGGGTGCTCTGCTGAACCCCATACGAACCGCTGGCCTGAGATGCCCCCACCCAGGCCCTGCCCTCCTCAGTCCCGACATACTTGGCCAGCTGGATGAGGGCAATGACGAGCCAACGGCCCACTTCACCCCACACCTTGGCGGCCCCCATCTCCATGAACACCTCCACGCACTCGAGCACACTCAGCCACGTCAGCAGCTTCTGCTGGGTCAGCGACTGCAGGAACCCCAGGCCAAGAGGTCAGGGAGGGGCCCCAATCCCAGGCCCTCCCCCTAGAGGATTCCTCTGACAGGAGATATGGATTTTCCCCTAAGGCTGCACACGTAGGCCTGCGTTCTCCACGGGAGACAGGCTACCCTATGTCTCTGGAACTCAGAGAGGGGGACGCTAACAGCTCGACCCTGCGCCTTACGAGAGGGCTTAAAGCTCATACTCTGAGACCAAAACACCTGCCACCCACGCGGGCTGGTTGTTACCACTTTACTCCCAAATCCCGACGCTTCCCGCCCTGGGCTCCTGACAGAATGCTCACCACAGGCAACTTTTTCCGAAGCTCCTTCCGCAGGATCCCGTCATTGAGCAGCACAAGCAGGTTAGAGGCGGAATACACTGAGGGGTAGAGCGCAGCCTTGAGGGGCTGGTGTGGCAGCCTCCAGGCCCTCCCCTTCTCTCCAGAGCCGCAGGGCTCACCTGTCACCTGCTGGGCTCCACCAACCACACACTTCTGTGGAAACCAACCTGCCTCCCCCACCCACTTCCTCAGAGCTCCACACTCCCCACTATGACCTCGTGGGGGCGGTTGGAACAAGAAAGGATAGTTTGATCTCGTGACAAACCCTGCTGGACAGCACTGGTCATCCAGCCGCCCAGAACTGCCCATCGCTCTCAGCAGCCATGGATGTGTGGTCTCACCTCCTGGCCTTAGTTCTCTGCAGCCCGTCCCTGAAAGTCTGCTCCACCTCTACCGTTCACTACCTCCAGTGCTCCCTGGGCAAACACTACTGAGGCAGTTACAGTCTGGGGATCCTAGAATGTGGGAAATCCAGGTTTGAATCCTGGTTCTGGGATCATCAGTAGCCGTTCCCTAACCTCACTGCCTTTCTGTTCCCTCAACTGGACACTGAGAGCGGTAGCGGTACCCACCTCATAAGACTAGAGGGGAGGATTAACTGGGCAAAGGCAGGAAAAGTGCTTGGGCCAGCCGCCTGACCAGTCAAGGTCCCCAGATTTGTCTCTCGACTATGGGGACATGGAGGGCCCAAGACGGTGAACGCTGGACCTCTGTCCGATTCAGTCACAGCACAGGACGATCTAATGGAAAACCTAGGGGTGGTCACCTCTCTCGGAAGCCCCGCCGCCCCCCACCCACCCCAGAGCCCCGCTCACCCAGCTCTGACAGCTCATGCGAATCCGCGAAGCGACCTGGGGAGAAGGCACAGGAGGCGACGGTAAGGGTTTGACTCAGCCTGCGGCTTCGGGCCCTGGACGTCCCCTCCCTATGCCCTATGGGAACCTGAAAGGAACTTCTCAAGCACAGCGACCACCACCCTGACTCCGAAGGGACGGGGCTAGTGGGGTCAGAGCCTCGAAGGGATCGGGCATAGATAGGTCAGGGTGGCACCTGCCAGCAGGTAACTGAGGCCCCGCACTGCCGTCTCCAGCTGGGCCGTGGCGGCCGGGTGGCGAGTCACGTACTCCTGGTAGCGGAGGCTCAGAAGCCGCAGTTTCTCCATCCTGCCCTCGGAACCGACAGACTCACGCACCGACAGTACGACAAGCTGCAGCGCCCTGCTTCCTGCGCCCTCCTTCCTGCTTCCGGTCCTAGGCCCGCCTCTTGGTTGCTTAACTTCCGCGGGCCCGAAGGATGTTGACGTGAAGGGCCATTGGGACTACCCTTCACCCCATTTCTTAAATCACCTCCCACTAGACTAGCGCTTAGCAACGGAGGGCCTAAACCTGCCCTCCCTGATCCTTCAGGTCATTGGTTAACACACTCTCCGCCCCCGACCCACCCAACAAGTTGGGGCCCGGTTCTTCCGCCTTCCGGGTGGGCTGCCCTCGCGCCTGCGCAGTTAGCAGTTCCAGGAAGGCTCCCGCGGTAGTCTTAGCAGTTCGTTCTAGAGAATGGACCAGGGCCCTGGAGTCTTTCCAATAGAACGCCGAGAGGCTCGAGCTGGGGGACCGGATTTTAAAGGGCTGGGAGGTAGCTCGCTAAAGGAACTTCCATCAGACTTGGGAGCCGCGGGGAGAGTCTTGGCAGGTGCGCGTTTGACCAGTTGCCTCGTCTGCCGTCCTCCCCGAGGTAGTGCGGGGGAAACCGAGGCAAGGAAGAGTACAGCCTTCCACGCAGTCTGGATTCCCTGGTCAGCACTGTTAGTGCTGGGCTTCGGCCACAGCTCCCGCATCGACTGTGCGGACCTTCACTCCCATCTTCGCAGAGAAAACTGTTTCGGACTTCTGCTATTGGCTCGGGGTGACCTGATCGAGTGTTTCCCTTTTCTGGATCTCGAGTTTCCCCATCTGTAAAATGGTTTAAGGAAAGACTTGGTCCTTGAACTCGGGCGCAATCTCAGAGCTCTTTTCGGCCCTCGGATGCACCTCCCGGTCCTCAGCTGCTCCCCAAGGGATGGGGGAGACTCCTGGGAATCTCCTCCCAAATGGGGCAGCTTCCCTGAAAGGGGCTGTGGTGGGAGAAGAGCGGCCAGAGGTTGATGCTCTGGGGAGGCCGCCACTAATTGGCTGTGGGGAAGGGGGCGGGGCATGGGTGGGGTCGCGCTGCTGAGCCCTTGGGGACCTGGCCGGTCCGTTTACCCTGAGAGTAGTAATACAGTATTTTACCCAATTCCCTCTGCCGGTTATTATCTGCAGGCGAGGAAAGGATCTACTTAAGAATGCCGAGTCACATCTGAATCTTGGTCTAGTCTGACCACAGAATCTAGGCGGTTTAAGCAACACACCTCACTTGCCTTCCTTGCACTACCCCCTCCCTCACCCTCCTCTCCAGCTTAGTTTTTTTCTATATCAAGTGGGGAATCAGAGCTGCCCTCCCGACTCATGCCAAGCAACGATGACTCGGGGAGATGTGTCCAGGGGCCTCAGGAGAGGCTAAAGGTCTTGGAGAACGGAGGGGGTCGTGGGCATTCTCAACATTTCTCACCACCTCCTGGGAGCCAGGCTCACTCATACGCCACTTCTCCTGGCAACCTGGCCAGCTCGGTATGAGCTCTTTTTCACAGATGGGGAATTAGAGACCCAAGTAGGGAAAAGGACTTTGTCCCAGGTCACGTGGCATGGCATTGGCCACATGGGCCGCCATGTGTGCCTCCCACAGCACTGTCCTCTCCCCTGCTGCCCAGAGCCCAGGAAGGGTGGTGCATCGAGACCACTTGGTCTTGACTCAAATTGGCAGCTGGGTTTAAAACTAGGACTCAGGGTATTCAGTCCGGGGCTCTTTCTCCCTGCACCCCGCCGTCTTAAGGAACTTGTTCCCCCAACCTCACCAGTGGGCACTCCTCCGGTCTCTCCCTCTGCAGCTGTGGAGAGAGTGAGGGTGGAGTGTGTGAGGTTCCTTTGATACTCCCAGGGCTGATGGTCCTGTGGTTCTGGGGAGGAACAAAGTGTGGAGAACAGAGCCACTGCCTCCCCCGGACAGAATGAAGGGCACTGGGGCTGGCACCTGCTTCTCCTCCTTCCCTTCAGGACCGGGAGGGGCGCATGGGCTCAGCCAGTTGCTGCCTGAATTTCCTCTCCAGATCGCTGCCTGATTAGATCGCTGCCCGATTAGATCCCAGAAACAAAGAGTGGCCGCGAGTGCAGGAGCCACCCAGGACAGCCCCTCCCTGCTGGGTCCCTGCCTGGAATTGGTCACCCGGTTGGGCTGGAAGGGCCTCTGGGCAAGTTGGGCCAGACCCTCCCTCCCTCTAGTCTGCCCCGAGCCACAGGAGAAGAGAGCTAGACTAGTCTAGCAAGTACAGAGGAAGACACTGAGGCCCAGAAAGGGGGCCTGACTAGGCTAAGGTCACACAGCAAAGTCTTGGGCAGAGATGGGCCAAACCAGCTCTCAGGCCTAGAAGACCAGTAACCTTTCATATGCCCATACCTGTCTCCCATGCCCCCTGGATGTCCCAGAACAACCTCTTGGAGGCCTGGCAAGCATCTCATCAGACAGGTTTCTCTGAACGGTAAGGTTAAGAGAGGGGTGCGGCCAGCACTGTGACTAGCCACAGTAAGTTCTACGGCCCCAGGTCCCCCACAAGCTCCCTAGACAGGCCCTGACTGTGTGCTCTACCCTCTCCCTCACATTTATACTGTCCCCCCTCCTGCCGCCTGCCCTGTGGCTACTGAGGGTGTTGGGGAGGGATTTGGCCAACCCCACTCCTGCTCCAGGCTAAGGATGAAGGTGGGAGGGGGGCGTGGAGCCTCAAAGCTTCAGATGCCAGGATGGCCCCTGCATCCCTGCATCACCTCTTAATTCCCAGATGTGCAGGGAGCCACCGTAAGTCTCCATGGCAACCACCGCCCCTGGCCTCCAAAACTGGACCTTCCTGGAAGACCCTCCTCTCTCAGAGAAAGGCCTCTTGAAGGAGGACACTTGAGGGGTCTCAGCCTGGGCTGCTTTCCACAGCTTCTTTGGGGGTTAGGGTCTCTCAGCCCTCACTTTTTATAGGTGAAGTTGGGCTAAAGGACCCGTGTCACGGAGAGGCCTGGTGCCTCCCATCCACTATCCCCATGAGCAGCCTTCTTCCAGGGGGGGCGACCGGCTATACACAAGTCAGCAAGGTCAGTTTTATAGGAATAAAATAAACCAAGGGAAGTAGAGGAGGAGCTGGCCTTGTGCGAATCTGGCAGAATGCAGGCAGAAGGAATATCAAGGGCAAGACCTCAAGCAGGAAACCCTTAGAGAAGAGTAGCAGGAAACTTTGCCTTCGGGGAAGAGCCTGGAAGGGACCTGGGAAAGGGGTGGGAGAGTGTTCTAACAGGTCACTTCAATTCTCAGACGAGAAGAATGCGTGTGTGTGTGTGTGTGTGTGTGTGTGTGTGTGTGTGTCACAGGCTGGGGGTAGGGGTGACTGAGAAGAGGCTTGGCAAACCTCAGCACGGGGCCTGGCGCGAAGAATAAGCGCTCAGTCCACCGTGGTGGTTCAGGGGGCCGGGCTGCGGCCTGCTGTGGGGTGCAAGGTCGGGCATAATTAGAAATCCAGCCCCAGCCCCGGTTCACAATGCGCGGGTCTAGGCAATGGTGGCGGTTCCTGGCGTCGGTGAGGCCCCCTTGCCAGCTCCGGGGCAGGAGTAGACCTGGAGGCGGCTTTGTCTGGGCCGCGCCGCCAGAACTGCGGGGGGGGGGGGGGGGGGGCGAAGCCCGGGAGCAGGAAGAAAAGCTGGAGCTCCAGGTGCTCCGCGGCTCCCGGGCAGGTCTCCGCCGGCCCGGCCTCCAGTCCCCAGAGCAGGTGTCCCTGACCCTCGAGGCCCCGCATTCCACTTCTTCCTCCTCACCCCCGCCGTCCCTTTGATCCGGGGCCGGGGGTCACGGGCCCCTCCCAACGGTGGAAGGTTAAGGGGAAGAGATGGGGCCCCAGAGCTGGGAAGAGGGGGATGGGCTCAGGGCAGGTAGCGGGGACTAGGCCTTCCTGGGTGGCTGCCCCGGCTCCCTCCAGCCATCCGGCTCGTTCCCAGGGCTGGGGGAGCCTTTGGATGCCGAGGCAGGGGCGGGGCCAGGTCCCCAAGGGTCTCCCCGCCCCTACGGGCTCCGCCGAGCAGAGGTGAAACCTGAACCTAGGTTGGGGGCGGGGCTGGCTCCTGCTCCTCACGGGGCTGGCCTGCGCCTCCACCTCCTTTCCCTCCAGCCGGCTTCTGGAAGAGGAAAGTCTGGGTCCCCGAGCCCCTGGAGCAGGTGAGGTGGCGACTCAGTGCGGGAGGGAGGATCGGGCGGGCAGCCGTCGGGCCCCGCCGCCCGAGGCTGATCCTCCTGCCTCCCTCCCGGGTCCGCAGGGACCGCGATGGAGCCCGCAGCCCGGGGTCGCTCCCCGCCCTGAGCGCCCCCGCAGGCGGCCATGCTGCCCCGAGGGCGCCCCCGGGCGCTGGGGGCCGCGGCGCTGCTGCTCCTGCTGCTTCTGATCGGATTTTTCCTGTTCGGCGGGGACCTGGAGTGTAAGCGCGGCGAGCGAGGAGGCGAGCGGGGGGTGGGGGGGGTGGCCGGGATCCTTCCTCTGCCCGCTGACGCCACGTGTCCCTCCAGACGAGAGGCGGCGGGGAGCTGCTGCCCTCGACGGAGACCCGCCGGCGGACCGCGGGGGCCACAACCTCTCGGACTGCGTCCCGCCGCGGCCGCTGCCGCCCAAGTGCGAGGTAGGCGCGCGCGGCCCCTGGCGGCGGGAATCTCCGGGGCTCCGCGCCCCAGCCGGGCCACCCGGGCACCTGTGGGAATCACGACACCTGGCGTGGGCCGGGACACTGACCACCCAGCCGGGGACGACGCGTCCCCGGGCTCCCGCCTCGGTTTCTCCATTTGGGAAATAGAGGTGAACTCCTACCCCACATCCCCCCACCCCATTCTTCCTTAGCTCTTGTTGCCGGGTGGGGCTACACTACCCTAGGCCAGGCCAGGCCAGTCGTGGGCTCTCACCTTCGAGTGGGGGAGGGGCTGCTGCCCACCTCTGCGCCTCCTCCCCAGCTCTTGCACGTGGCCATCGTGTGCGCGGGACATAACTCCAGCCGAGACCTCAACACCCTGGTGAAATCTGTGCTCTTCTACAGGTATAACCAGCTGTCAGGGTGGGGGTGGGGAGGCAGGAGTGGGGAGCCACGGAACAAAGTCTTGGGCAGGATCTCAGAGCTCCAGTTCCCCCATCTGCGCCACAGGGACAGTGTCCCTTCCTCCCTTGAAGGTGGTTCTAAGAATATCCTAAGCCGGGTGCGGAACGGCTCTTTGCAGAAGTTAGTGCTGCCACTTCTGGGCCCCTCCAGTGGGTCTTGTCCCGTGTTCTCCCTTCTCGGGCCTGTCAGCTTTCCTCACTTGTCCTTCCCCAAGGAAAAATCCACTGCATTTCCATTTGGTGACTGATGCTGTGGCCAGGAACATTCTGGAGATGCTCTTCCACACGTGGATGGTGCCTGCTGTCGGGGTCAGCTTCTATGACTTGGAAGAGCTCAAGGCAGGAGCCCTGGCCCTTCTGCACTCCTTTCTGGCTGCGCACAGCCCTTTCCTCCCTCCCAGGGCATCGGGGTGAGGGTGTGGGGGAGAGGCTAGAGCTGCCTGGGACTCACAGGCCCTTCTCTGCCAGGTTCATGCCCTGTCCTTCCCCCCTCCTCCGCAGCCCCAGGTCTCCTGGATCCCCAACAAGCACTACTCTGGCCTGTATGGCCTAATGAAGCTAGTGCTGCCCGGTGCCCTGCCCCCTGACCTGGCCCGTGTCATTGTGCTGGACACAGATGTCACCTTCGCCTCTGATATCGCAGAGCTCTGGGCGCTCTTTGCTCACTTTTCTGGTGAGAGGTCTGGGACCCAGCCCCAGCCAGCCCCCCTCCCTGGCCTGTCCAGGCCCCGCTGTGGCCTAGCCCTGAGCCGAGGTCCTGTGGCAGCCTCAGGCAGCTGCCTCGTGCCCTCCCCTCCCAGACAAGCAAGTG